ATGAATCACTGACTCACTAGATTCGTTCAAAAAACCCCGTTCATTCGAGACACCGCATCTCCGTTCATGCGCAGCGGCTCCGCTGTATCTTTGTTTTAAACTATTTTCGACTGAATCACTGACTCACTAGATTCGTTCAAAAAACCCCGTTCATTCGAGACACCGCATCTCCGTTCATGCGCAGCGGCTCCGCTGTGTCTTTGTTTTAAACTATTTTCGACGACGAAATAGAGCAAAATCAGACAATAGTGTTATAGTCAGTCAATGTAAGTCACTCAATATTAACTTTGTGTCTATTGAGTTGTATAGTTCATCTCGATCTCACATTTATAATCAACGAAGCGCTCTCTACACTGCGTGATGAATCTCTTAGTTACACCCCGTCTACACTTTGCTTATGAAAGGCTTCGTGAGATACGTCTGTGATGCATTACTCGACGCTGCAAACACACGTAGAAAGCTTTGAAGCTCCCCGGAGCGCAATCACAAGTATGATGAAGATCGGGTTCAGTCGCAAATGCAACTGAAATAGTCGCACCGTCGAGCCCTGTTAATACTCCTAACCGTCCACAGATTTAGGAGCTAGTTTTAGCGCGAAAACACTTTGTGAAATACTCTTAGAGCTAAACCACGAGTCCTAAATCTAGGAGATTTTCTCCTAAATCGACGAGTTGTGAGCTACTTTCAGCTTTAAGCTGTTTTGTGAATACGGGCCTGATTTGTTGTGTTTGTAAATGATCGTGCGTGCGGTTTTTACCGTTTTCGATCACGATCTTCATGAGTCTGTACTCTCCGTTCCTGGCGTTACCAAAAACATCCTTCACCTCCTCAGCAGCTGGAAGACAAACCAACAAACAAACGTGTGAAGACAAGCAGATATAACACCATAATCAGGCTAATCCAGGTGTAAACTAAGCAAGTAAGACTCTTACTGTGTTTCTGGTGACACACACACACACACACACACACTCTCTCTCTCTCTCACACACACACACACACACACACACTCTCTCACTCACACACACA